ACCCTTGGTGTAGAATTGGCAGAAAATGAATGATATCAGTCTGCTAGCTTTTGCAAGTAGCATAGCCAGCTCACAGTGGCTTTGTCACGATTACAAGAAGGGAGTATCATACCAAATGTGAAAGACTGACGATGCGGCCTGAACAACTCCAGCGGGAACAGAGTGGACGCGCACAAATCCAACTTTCCTGCCTGCATTTCGTCCAAGGCCTGATCAAGAACCTTTTCAGGATCCTCCATGCCCTGCAAGACCTGCAGCGAAAGCGCTCTCCCCAGTAAAATTCACACGACAACCCCAAGGGGTGCATTTTGTACCTACAAATGCGGCACTCCAGGTCCAAACCAACCAATCCATCTATAAAATCAGGCCCCCCAAGATAGAAACCTTAAGTCTATAATATTGGGTTGGAGGGTTGGTTGGCCATAGTGGGCTCACAGAAATTTGTCAGAAAAGTGCGCTCCAACAAATGCCATGCGTCATCCCGATGCATTTCCCGATGTGGCAAAGATCACAAACTGGTTTGATTTCCAAAACGGTTTGGTGCTGGAGTTAAATGTCAAAACAGTTTGGCACCCAAGATCATGAGCGTCCGGCAGGATAGGAACCTTTGTGGAGTCAAATCTTTGGTGACAAAATGTTTTGGCAGCACCGAACCTTTGCTTTTTTCAAGAATACGGGTTTAGACATGTTTCAACTCCAGCACCAAACCGTTTTGGAAGTCAAACCATCTTGGAAGTCAAAACTTGGGTGTCAATCCGCTTTGGACTTTGTAACTCCATCAGCAAACTGGTTTGGAGTCAAGGCTTGGGTGCCAAACTGTTTTGACATTTAACTCATGGTTTTGACAAAATCAGAACAGTTAAACCCTGTGGCCATATTCAGGAATACTCTTCCCCCCAACCTCCCACTCAATCTCTACAAAATCAGGGTCCCTGGAGGGTCCCATCTTGGAAGAGTGGGAAAGGTGATGGTTTTGAGAAAATCCAAACAGTTAAACCCTGTGCTGGAGTTCAACAGCAAAAAGTGAAAACACTAGCTACTTTGAGGTTTGCTACGTTGACCCTGATTCCTTTGCTTGATTCCATGCTTGTGTATTCCTACACTAGCTTCATGGCTGATGACCTAGGAACACCTTTTAACGTTTGAAAAAAGAAACTTGAGTTTCCACTGCGAACTAATGACTGGGACGACTTGCATCGCGCAGCCAGTGTTTTGTAGTGGAAACTCAAAACTATTTCGAAATAATTTGGGGTGGGTCCTCAAATACTCAATGTTGTCTAAAACAATTTTGTACAGTTGGGTGGTCATAGACTCAAAATTATTTAGAAGTAATATCTATCATATGAAGGTTGTTTTGCACAACCTAGACGGTTTTAGTGAAAACTATTTTGGTACCACCACCTACATGGCTTGACATCCTTCTGTCAACAGGAAGATGCTTAAACACCCATCTCTACAAATGGGTTCTAACCCTCTACAAAATTATGGTGGGTGAGTGCACATGCTCGAGTCAACGGAAAGATATGTCAAAAATGCCGTTTCCATAAAGGGACAGTGATTCTGTAGAAAACCACTGTTTACTCTACAAAATGGTCGTTTCCAACACATGGGTTGACCAAATTTGTAGCGGAAATTTCACAGGTGATCAAACAGTTAAGGCCAGGACCAAAGGTCTTGAAGAAAGCCTAAGATCTAATGCCTTCAAAACACAACTGTTGTAATTGAAGTGCTAAACCTTTCTAGCAACATTCACCTTGTTGTTCAGGCTACGACCTAAAGCCTTAGATAAAGATCACGCTTTCAAAGAAGAGGTCAATAGAGGTATGACTTTGAGTCTGACAAAACCCTTTTGAAGCATTCTTGTTGGTAACTGCAAGCAACAAGGTGCTGACAGAAAAGTGTGCTCTTGTACAAGGAATCGTTCGTGTCACTAGGGCCCTTCATGAAAGAATCCTTCATGAAAGTTGTCCAAATTTGCCGACCCCGTGCCGGTCTTGCTCTCCGGCCCTCTACTTGGACAACTCCAAAGAAAATTGGACCAAAGTGTGAGAGAAATTGAGATGCTACTAGTAACAAGTGCATCACTACTAGTAGCAAGAAGCTACTAGTAGCAATGCACTTGTTACTGAATCTAATTCTGGCTGTCGGGCACCCTTTTCTATGTAGAACATTATAGAACCGCGAGCATGCTACTAGTAGCAATGCACCAGTTCCTAATAGCGATGCACTTGTTGCTACTTTCGTCTTCTCGTTCTCGTTTCCGAAAGTGACTAGTCACTAGTCGTGGGGTGATGACCCTTAGCGATGCCCTTTGCTCCTAGTAGCATCCTTGCTCCTAGTAGCGATGCCCTTTGTTCCTAGTAGCGATGTCCTTTGCTACTAGTCGTGGGGTGATGACCCAGACTCGACCGGAAGCGTCGTACTTTCCCTCAAAATCTGCGAGCCGCTTCTAGGACGGGGAAGGAGAATGTCCCAGAACAGGAGCGCTTTCCAAAGTTCAACTGAATAAAGCGCCCTTTAAAAAGGAAAAGAAAGAAGGCAATGTTCTTCTACCTTCTGTTCTTCCTTTTTCTTTGCGCCTTCCAAGTTTAAAGTGAAGCTCGTGATTGCGTCCACCTCTTCCGGCCACCCATCTCGGTCCGTATGTCTTCTTTTTGCTTCATAGGTTTTCCTTTAGACCTTTCTTCTTTGCTCCTAGTAGCGATGCCAGGAGCCCCTAGTAGCGTCCTTGCTCCTAGTAGTAAGGCCAGGAGCCCCTAGTAGCGTTTTTCTTTGTGTTTTCTTGCCTTTCTTGTTTCCATGCCTTGTTGACATTGGCCTTGGCCACTCGGGCGAAGCGCTCGAAGAGATTGTCTCCAGCAAAGCGAACCTGGCGGCCAGTGCACAGCTGGTCAGTATGCGGGCTTCCAACGAAAAAGCTCTACACTTTGGAAAGAACCAGAATAAGAAACGATCCGGCAACGCACTCTGCTGCGTAGAACTGCTTCCGCACACCCAACAACAAAACCCACAAAATTCTGTTGAGATGAAGGCATGGAATGCAAGCCCTCACGATGAAAAATAGACAACTCAAAAAGCACATTGATTCATCTGGCTCAGTCTCATGTGCTCAACATTATCGAAAGTCAATAAGGTTGATATGATTGTTGTGAACTGGTCATGTAAAAAAAACGAGGAAAAGCACCCCTCCAAGCCGCAAAGTGCGCAAACATTGTCTAAGGCTAGAGGATCGAACAAGTCCCATGTGTCCACCCGCTTGTCTCCGTGTGTTTGCTAATGCTCGTCATACATTGGTTTGTCAACAAAAGTAGAATGCGTTTCTGAATGCACTCAAGCCAGTATTAAAAAATACCATTTACAGAGGTGTCGGATGTGTCCCAGAAAAAGCTGAAGTCTCTTTGATGCACTTAACCTGTTCATGATTTATGCTCATTTAGCAAACACTTCCGTCCATATAGATTCCCAAGTATGAGGCAGAAGTTTGTTTGGGAACAAGCTTTCCCTCTGGTCGATCTCTCTGTCGAATTGCATTGGTAGTTGAGATTGGTGCCCGAGGCACCCGAGTACTTGGATTGTCTTTCAAGAGCATGTAAACATGTATTACTAATTACACCCGGACACTACTAGTAACAAAGGGCATCGCTACTAGGAGCAAGGACGCTACTAGTAGCTCCTGGCATTACTACTAGTAGCAAGAAGCTACTAGTATCACCAAAGACCAATGTCATTGGCGACAGGACTTCACTGAAATAAGTTTCATCAATTAGTTGAAGCTAAAGCTGATGAGCTGCCTACTTAGCCCTGATAACAATGCTACTTGGGAGGGGAGGATCTTTCTAAAGAGGTGTGTGCCTTGAATGTCTAACAAGAACACTTCTTCAACAAAAAATGCTCTTAGGAAGGCCTCAACTCTAGAATGCGTTGCTTATTACTCTAAAAATGTCAAGTTTCCTTGTTCCTTTCTGTATGTGTTTCTTTGAACCTTCAGACCATATGTCCTCTAACAAGCATATTCTCTCCAAGGCCTGAAGTGTGAAATTGAGCTTCTAAGAACAGCAGCAAGCGCTGGAAGCATTCTATGAAAAGGGGGGGCACAAAAAAGACAATTTAATGTGTTTCATATCTACAGTGTAAAGACATGATTCAACACATGTCTGTCTTCCATTTCAAACACTGAAATAGCCAGCAAAGGTACATAAATGCAGTATGTTCTAATCCCATTTGCGCACCGTCAACACCGGTCACCTAACTACAGAACTTGGGATTGACTACATACGCATGATACCAAAAAAAGCGTCGACGGCAGTATGCTAGTAGTGTGAAAAAGAGACAAAGGCATTTAGAGCTTGGTGATGTCAAAATATGTGATTTCCAAGTGATGTCCCTTTCCTTCCACATCCCCTTGTCTGCAGCTCCGACATGTAAAGTGTCGGGCGCACTGTTGGCGGATTGGATACCCTCAAAGGTGGTCGCCTCGTCTTCATGAAAAAACTCTGGGAGTTGGCAAACACAGGGAAATGGAATTAACAAAACGAGGGATTGAACAGAAATTGAAACAATTAGAACAATTAGATGCAAGACCAATGCAACAGTTCCAAATGAAAGCTCGTCAAAGGAGTCTGACAACATACAAAAAAAATATCGAGGCTCGCTCTGGCCAACAAATGCACTTGGTGCATGCAAGCACCTCAGTGAGGGAAAGAGCTGGACTGGCAGTCAACGCCGAACTGTGCCCTCAAGCGAATGTGTAACTTGCGCGCTCCAAGCACCTTTTCTCTTTCGAGGAGCAAACACGAGTGTTGTCACAACATGACACAACGATGCTCAAGAGCTCAAGATTCCTCAAGCGCCATGAGCCAAAAGGACTTCAAGGGACACAGCAGAAAATGTGGGAGGCCATCGCTATTAGGGTGTAGGCGGGTGGAGGCCATCGCTCTTGGGGTGGAGGCCATCGCTAGTAGGTTCCTTAAAGTCCTTTTTCTATTTCGGCAGAAGATTCTTCAAGCGCCATGAGCCATGTTCTTGTAATCAACATCCACATATTGCAAGAGCGCTTCCCTAAGCCATTTCTTCGCTCTCGGGTAGGAAGCTCGTCCATGCTGCTCCAGCAGGTCTTCATGCATCCGTTCGATGGTGTGTTTCCAGACTTCTTCTGCCGTCTCTTCATAGTTGGGATGAGCAAAGAGCGCCTCCTGAGATCTGGAAAAAAGGTCGAACACGGGCATTCTCAATCAATGGCATTCTTGTTATTGGTGTCCACGCCGGGAGTAATCTGTATAATCCACAACACTCAAACAACTTTAAACAAAGTTGAATGCAAAGGATACATTGCATTTTTTCGAAAAAATGCCTTCAAACCCTGACAATTCCGAGCCTTCAGGTCGAACGTCTGCATCACCTTCCCTGGATTTCCTTCATCAGCTGCGGCTAGAAAAGGGCAACGAGCATGAGGATTGTGCGCGCGGTCACCAAGGGGATCGGCACCAAATTCCAAAAGCAATCTCATGCACCCGCCAGAACCAAAAACTGACGAATACAATAGCCCTGACATGTTGGCGTCCAGGCCCGCGTCCAGAAGGAGTTCAAGCTTCTCTTCACTGTCTGGACCATCAAAATAGACCAAGTCAAGGAGCCACTGACGATGCGTCCTCAGGCAGGGGCATGAACTGGCGCCATTGGCTTACAACCACAAAGCAACCCACCTTCCAATCTGCTGCAACAAGAAGTGGAAACAAACTAGTTTTAGCACAGCTCAGCACTTGAACATTCTTGAACTTCACGGGCCCTGCAAAGTCACAGGCTCCTTGAAAGTCGATTAACGTCTGCAACTTTGTCAACTGCTGCCTTGAAGGCTCTCATACTTTTTGCCTTCACAATGGCATCCAACATGTTCGCTGCAGGTCTTTTGTGAGTCACGGCCCCAGGTTTTTTCATGACCGTTTTGCCCGTCTTGTTGCTCGAAAGCTGCTTCATGGACTTCTTACCAGCGGGCTTCTTTTTGGCACCACGCTTGGCACCCTTCTGCGCAGATGTCTGTTTCGGTAGTGTCTTCATTGCCAGAGCCTTCTGAGGAGCCTTCTTCGATGCAGGCTTCTTCATGGCTCGATGGCACTATCCACATGTCGGGTGAGGCTGAAAATGTCCTAAAGCCTAAGGCAATATGAAACTACTCACGAGAGTGCTGGTCATCAGTCTTATTTTGCTCACCACGGAAACTCAAAACTGTGCTGTTCATGAAATCACACGATGCAATGCTGTTGTAATGGTCTATGAATAATCATGAATAATCTCTGGAAGATCTTCGGAGAAGATTGCAATGGTGTTGTTGAAATTGGCCCAACAAGTAGTGACGGAATGCGGCCGTACAGGTTTCCGTTGTGAGAAAGGGCATTATATGTATATGATGATCCATGTACGGGATATATTAATGAAATAGCTTCTGCAATTTTTTGGGGGGGCGTTTGGCATGTGAAAACGTGTCATCTTGAATCATTTGTTTTGACTAGGACATTGGGCAAAGGAGGTTGGTTCAGTAAGTGAGGATTAGATCTTGTGATAAGGTGAATGAATCATATCGATTTTCATGATAAATATAGACTGATACAGAAGTGGTTCCTGGGGCAGATGTAACAGTAGGTTTAGTTTCAAGGCCTTCAGAGACCACAGCGTGTTACAAATAAATCCTCCTATTCAATCCAAGGCACGCAACGCAAGCTGCGCCAAGGACAGCAGCACTTGGAAGCCAAGCGTTGTTTCGACGGCCTCGCGCTTTTTGGATTCACAGGCCCCGACGCTACTAGGGGCTCCTGGCCTTACTACTAGGAGCAAGAAGCTACTAGTAACAATGGCATTACTACTAGTAGCAAATAGCCCCTAGTAGCGTCCTTGCTCCCAGTAGCGATGCCAGGAGCCGCTAGTAGCTTTTTGCTCCGAGTAGTAAGGCCAGGAGCCCCCTAGTAGCGTCCTTGCTCCTAGTAGCGATGCCCTTTCCAATCTAATTACAATCCAAAAGAACACCACAGTAGCTTCTGACACCTTGTAAAACTCTCAAGACAGCCTGCATGAAAGCTAGCCATTGTTTGAGCCATGAAAAATGCTCTGGTTTGAGCTATGGAAAATGCTCGGATTAAAATCCCAAAACAGCTTGAGCCGCACCGCCGGATTCAAAGTTGGATGTGGATGCCGTGCTCATTGAGTTGTGAGGTTTCTCTGCTTTGAAGCTGCGCACACACACAGAGACACACTGCAACTCTGCTGCGAAAACAACTCAATATTTTGCAGCTTCAAGAGCGATTCAGCGCATACGAAGGCTTATTCGTTCACCCATCCTGCGCATTCCATTGCAAAAGGATCAAGAAGGGCACGGTGCAGAGTCTGCAAATGCAGGCCATCGCTCTTAGGTTGCCAGGAGACGGTTCTTCCGCACCCGGCCTCTTGCGCCGTTTTTTTTTGCATGAGGCCTGGCAAACAGCAAGGAGCAAGCATGAGGACGCTACTAGGAGCAAAGGGCATCGCTACGAACGGAGCAAGGACGCTACGTTCGGGGCTCCTGGCCTGACTACTAGGAGCAAGAATGCTACTAGCAACAAAGGGCATCGCTACTAGCAGCAAGGAGTAAGCTGTTGTCCTCAGGGCAAGAGCTCGGTCCAAGCCAGGCAGGCGGTTTTTCTTACTCATCGTTTCCAATGGGCAAGCCTCCGCGAGTGGGTCCTAACTTGAGCACAGAGACGCCCCCCCTCACACTTTGAATAGAGTTTACGTCTTCTGCACGGTATTCATTTACCATCATTTTACACAAGTTTCTTTAAAGCAAAAGGTCTTGAAAGGGTTTAGGTTGTGGAACTCGTCTGAACTCGCTATAGAAAAATCAAGGTCGCTCTTTCTTGCCATGAGGTTGCTATTAGGTAGGAGGCCATCGCTATCCAACAAGAGGAAGCCCTACGAACGTGGCTCCTCTCGGATGGATTCGTCTCTGGACCTGGGACGCTCACGGATGCTCTACCTACAAAACAAGCCAGCTTGAAATTCAAGGCCCGCGCGGGACTGAAGTCGTACCTTCCAAAAAAACATGTTAAACTCTAAGGTGTTGATTGTTCAACAAAAGATTTCTTCTTCAAAATCTTCATCTACAAATCACTTGGATCTATAGAAGTGTGGCCTTAAATAAAATGCTATCGTATTCCAACGTTTGCTTTCATTCCAGTGTGCTGCAAAAGGCTTCGGAAGACCAAATCTCGGTTCAGCTTCGTGCCTCTCAGGGAGGACTGTCCAACCTCCATCCTGACCTTGAGCAAGCGGCTTAACTGCGGCTCTCAAAAATACAACCCGTGCTGTTCAAGAAACACTGGAGTTGTTGTGTATCGCTACTAGGAACAAGTGCACTACTACCAGTAACAAGAAGCTACTAGTAGCAAGGTGCCTTACTAGTAGAAACAAGAACAAATAGCGAAGGATATTATGCACCTTACTTCTAGTAGCAACAAGCTACTAGTAGCTCCTGGCACTGCTACTAGTAGCAAGGAGCTACTAGCAACGAGGCACCTTACTACTAGTAACCAGAACTAATTGTTTCTTTTCAGCTCCGGCACCACGGGTGACTGGCACGGGACACTACAACGAGGCAAAAACTGCCTCTGCCTTTGGGTAAAGTATCATCTGTAGCAGCGAACGCTGGAACGTATTAGGGCAAGGACGCTACTAGGAGCAAAGGGCATCGCCACTAGGAACAAGAACGCTACTAGGAGCTTTTTTGCGTTCTTGACGGGCTTGCAGACTGTGAACTACACTGGTGGCTCACCACTCAAGCACACAAGCAACACTGCCCCGCATCAATATCAGAGCTCAAAGCCTGTTACAAGTTCAATTCCTCAAAAAAAAAGAAACCAACAAAATCTAACAAACAAAAATCAGAAGGAGCTTCACAAGTTTTGGTGTGTTTGCTACCTGGGATCTATGCTGAAGTTCTTTAGGTCTATGGACTATGGGGGCGTGTAAGGGCACCTGGCCTGCTTTTGCGGGAGCGAGGCCAGGAAAGTCAGGTTCGTCAAAGAAGCTTTTGGCCCTATACAGTTTTCTTAAAGAACTCTTAAGCTAGACAGTTCCTAAGAGATCTGGAGAAAGAAGAATGAAGAGAAAAATGGACAGGTTTAAAAGCAGAAAAGAAGCGCACAAAAAAATAAGAAAGGAACAAAGCTCGCAAACACGAGGAAAGGCGGTTATCTCTAGGACAAATCGTGACGCTACTAGTAGCAAAGGGCATCGCTACTAGTAACAAAGGGCATTCATTACTACTAGTAGCATTCTTGCTACTAGTAACAAGAAGGTAATAGGCATAGGAACATGCCTTCAAAAAAAGTAAAACAGTTCTCCCGCTGGAGGAGATGTCTCTCTTCTCTGCTCTGCGGCCTGCTTGAACAAGTCATTCGAGTGGCTTCTCCACAAAGCCTCAAAAGAGGACAGACTTCAGTGAAACTCTGAATTCTCAGAAAAACTCAACCTTCCTACATGTTCCCTCCCCAGTAGCAACATGATGCAACAATATGTTAAGCGTGCATGATGCAACAATATGTGAAGCGTGTCTTTAACCTAATGAATGCATCACTTGTGAAGGATTCTTCAAGAGCCCCTCCTGTGGCATGTAGGCTGGTAATTGGTCAACCGCCAAACCTGAAGCGACCCGCTTGCATAGAGCCCAAGAAGACTTCAGTCTGGTTAGAATTAACAAGTGTTGCACATTTCATACCAAGTGCTCTCGCCCGAATGGCTGTCCCTTTCTTGGCATCAACTGCGAGGAAGCTGCTCACGTCGCGAGGATACTCGGATAGGTCACGGAAATACACGAAGCTGTGATGCTGCTCCGGTCTCATGCTGCTCACATCCTTCTGGATATCATGCAGTGAGTTGCCGGTGGTACAGGAAAGAGCTCTAGGAATACATTACTTCAATTCTATCTATTTCTTGTTACTACTAGCAAACCTTGTTCCTAGTAGGGATGCCAGGAGCCCCTAGTAGCGTTCTTGCTCCTGGTAGCGATGCCCTTTGTTACTAGTAGCGTCCTCTGATTTGACATTTAACAGGCACTTCACACACTCTTTCCAGCTGCAACAGCTAAAAGAATACTCAAAGGCTACAGCATTCTGAAAGATGTGGTTTTCAAGAAAGCAGGGTGTTTGTCTTCATTGAACTGTCAAGAATTCCTCACATTGAATGCCCCACTGAATTTGAGGCCCAAATGGGTTGGCCAAGTGGGTTCTTGGCAGCTATGTACAAAAGGCCCCCCCAATTATGGGAAAATGGATGAAATAGCGTGCTTGTTGAGTGTCCAAAATATCTACTGTTGTTTCATCGTTTGGTGGGGCCTTGCTACGAGAAGGGCTCGGACTCATCATATCGCACATAGCCACTGTCGTTGAAGGTGTGAAACTGCACGTGTGGTGCGGGCATATACATCTCAGCTTCGAGTTGTTGCCGTTGCCGCTGTCGGTAGCCCCGGTAGCAATAAGTAAGTCCCTGAGAGACAGAACGGCCCAGAAAAACACACAAGCTTGGAAGTATATTGCCTTTTCGGAGAAGTGCAAAAAGGTGTCTCAAAGGCTGTAGGTCTGAAATGCCAAGCAAATCCCAGAACACCGTGAGATCTTGTGAGGCTGTAGGAATTAATTCGATGTGAGGCTACAAGGACTGGATGGGGCACAGCTGCTCCAAGGAACTGCCCCGATGGCACCAAAGAAGGCAACCAGCCGCAGCAAGATCAACAAGGGAGCTCCCTGACAAGCAGCACATGTACAAGACGTGCTAAGATGCAGCAACCGCACTGCTTCATCTTCACTGACAAGTGTCAAAAACAAAACGTCTTTGGTCTTTGGTTCATAATCGTTTCTCAAACAGTCACTCTGATTTCCAAAGTCCCTTCAAAATCTCCCAGTGAGGGCTCCTTGAATGTAAAAAGTACGAGTATATTAAAGAAAGAAAAATATGTATTACTATTTGAGAAAAGGACATTGGGTCTGAAGAAAAAAAACAAAGAAAAGGAATAACAGTCGAGGAAAAATGGAAAGGAAGAAATGTCTCAAGGAAAAAAACAGATTCGGCCGTAAAGG